GAATGAGTAAACCTGTTGTAACCACCACGCTGGGGTCTGTGGGGCAGCGGCTGGGGTTGTGCTTGCTGGAGTGGGGTGGGGGTTGTTAAAAAACCTCTGCACAGTGACCTGCAGCAGCCAGGACACCCTGCAGACACCCACCAGAGCTGGGGCTGTGCTGGGGCTCGGGGCCTGCACATCCAGAGCTCAGCGTGAGATGAGGATGGCAGGAGTTCATTCATTCTGTGTGTGTGCAAAGGAGGAGAGGGGAAAGCCATGGTCCTCACATGCCCACAATCTCCAGGGCCTCACTTGCACAGAGATTCCCAAAACCTGCCCCCAAAACCATGGCCTGTGCTCTTGGCCCAGTCTCTGAACTTAGACCCAGCTCCTGTCTGTGTGTATCCATCCGTCCATCCTTGTCCATCCATCCATCCATCCATCCATCCATCCATCCATCCATCCATCCATCCATCCATCCATCCATCCATCCATCCATCCATCCCATCCCTCTCTCCATCCACTCAAGCAGGTCCCAGCCCCCTCCTCCTCCAGGATCTCTGCACAGTGACCATTTCTAGCAGTTTATTCAAGAGCTACAAGAAAATATTCCTGCCCTCTTCATCTCCACGAGGCACATGACCTGGACAGTGCCAATGGAATACACATTTTTATTTAATTTATTACCATTCCTGCAGGCTGTGTCTCGGCTGGCAGCTGCAGAGGGGCTGGGGTTGCTCCCTGCCTGCGGGACACGGGACAGGGGCTGGGGCAGCCTGGCAGCCTTCACCCAGCTCCGTGGGATATTTTTATTTTTTTTCCATTCAAGCCTGTGCAGAGTTCCTGGCAGGACTGGACCTCTCGTCCAGATTGCAGATGCCCAAAATATCTGTATTCGGGGCTGAGCAGACTGAGGCTGAAGTGCCCGTGGTTGGCTGATTGAGGAGGACATAGGGGAATGCAGAAAGACAGACAGACAGACAGACAGACAGGCAAAGTGCCTGAGCACACATGGCAGCAGTGGGCGATGCCCCTGGGTGCTGCCCCATCTCCAGCCATGGCTCTCACATCAGCAGGGGATATTTTTACTGTTTTTCCCAGTCTGGTGAAACCTGAGCTCAGTCCAGGACATGGTTTTGCCCAACGTTAGCTTGTGCTACCAGCCATTAAATTTGATTGTATTGCTGTTATGTCATTTTTAATTATCTTGTAATCTGTGGTTCACCTGGAATCGTCAGGAGCCAGGATTTGTGAAATAAAATCCAAAATGCCAGTTGAAATAAGGCATTTTATATGTATTCTTTCCCATCCACACATGAATGCACACAGCTACTGATAAAAAACACGTGTTCCTTCACACATGTATGTTTCTAATCAGATTTATAATGTATCTAATATAAATGTTTTTCTGCATATAAAATTCATTGGAAACAGGAAACCAAATTAGTTTACCTTACTAAAGTGGCATGAAATAAAGAGTAGCACACACTGTCGAAAATAAGGTAGGATGTGGTTTTTGGAGGGCTTTTCTTCCCCCGAGGGCTCGTTCTACCATGTTTATGTCTAAGAGCTGCTAATTTTAAAGCCAGCTCACAGGAGACTAATGGCACGGCTTATTTATTTCATTTCACTTTCATTCTGCAAAGCTCAGGGTTTGTTTAAGGTGCTCACATGTCAGCAGCTCATGTGAACACACCCGTGGGTGCTGCAAAGCACAAACAGCTCTGGGTGTCTGCACACACTGACCCCCTATGCTCATCCAGAGGTTGGACAGGAGCCACTCCATGAGATGAGTCTGATTTTGAAAGATCTTTTGATGTTTAACGTGTAATAAGATGCTCAGTGCTATTTTCAAACCAAGACACGTTCCTGGCTGATTTGCAAAAGGCCACGGTTTTACGTGGGCAAATGCTTTTAAAAATTGGCTCCTGGGATTTTGGGGGCTCATCCTCTGACAAGTCTCCATCTCTGACYTTTCCATTACCAACTTTTCCATCTCCCAACTGTTTCATCAGCTCCTGAGCATGGGCACACAGTTGATCAGTCCGAGTGTTTTATTGTCCTCCCACACTTGTGGCCTTCTCTGAGCCATCATTCCTCTTTCTGTGCCTCGTCACACCTCTGTGCTTGTCAGCAAAAGGATAAAACAGCAGCTCTTTGGGTTTGGTTTCAGGTACAAATCCCCCTGGTATCACACTCCTGGTTGCACAGCCCCACATGATGTGTCTGACACGGCTGGGTTGGCTCTGCCTGGTGGGGAGAGGTACAAACCCTCTGTTTTTATCTCACGCAWGGTCCCACTTTTTGATTATTTATGCAAAAATTTATGGAGGGGAAAAACCCCGCAAATCCACCATAAATTCCCTTTCTGAAGACATCAGTAAAGACAGAGGCTGCTGCTGGCCCGGGGTGCTGRGACCACGGGGCTGGAAAAACCTCTTGTCCTGAGAACCCAATGCCTCTGGCACCCAAGGAAGATTAATTTATTCCCCCCAATTTCTCCCCCTGTCAGGAAGTTTCCCAGCCCTCCAGGAGAGTGGGTGCAGCAGAATCAGCAGCACAGGTCTATCAGGCTGAGCAGAAGCTTTTCCAGGAACTATCTAGTGAAACACATGACCGTGCCTGGCCAGAGGGTGATACGTGACAGGCATTCACCGGGTTCCTGACCAGTCAGTTGACTTTGTTATTCAAACTATTTTAGTGATGGTTTTTAATCCCAGGCTTAAGTTTTTCTTTTTCTATTTTTCTTTTTTTTTTTTTTTCCCTCCCTTTCTTTTTTTTTCTTTTTCTTTTT